GCTACTTTCCAGAGGGTAGGGTAGAAATACTAGTATTTCTCTCTACTGTGGAATACCACCACGTCTTAGAATAGTTTGGGGGTTTTCTTCAATTTTTTTTTTTTTTTTAAATCTCTTTCTTATGTTTTACTGGGCCATCATGTCATGAGACAATTTGCTCTTCAGAATTTTTACAATTCAGAATTTTGCACTCTTAACCCTATACTCCCTGTCTAAGGAATAAAAGAAGGTGAATTATAGCTTTGTTGGAAAGAAGTGAGAGTTCTGGGCTATGGAAACCAGGTAAAGTGATGTATTGAAGAGCTGTAGTATTTGTTGTACCTAAGCTAAAGGTTTTTTAGATCTCTCTCTGGGCATCTCTACATAGTGTTCAACTCTCTGCTGTGCCTCGTAGATAACACACACAGAGTGTGAATGTGCAGCCTAGGAAACTTAGGGTGAAAACTGGTGCTCCCAAGTGCAGCTTTCACTGACATATATTTTTGTCCCTCGCTGATTCATGCACCGTGTTTCCAGTTCTGTAGCCATCACTTTTTATCACTTTCCGTCTTTGCTCTTCATTCCAGAAACTCAGTAAGGGATATTTGTTTATTAACAGTTGGATAATTGGATTCAAGGTTCCAACATATTTAGATTGGTTTTTTACCTTTTTTCTGCTTCTTAGGTTGTTTAATAAAGGAAACCATCACCTCAACTTCTGTTTAAAAACTTCAGGGACCTTTGCAGGGGTTAATTGCTTTTTTCCAAATTCAAGGCTTCCTATGTAATTCAACGTCCTAACTTTCACAGGAAACCTGGAAGACACTTGGTTACTTTTCACAGGACTACCAGGTCTGATGAACTCATTATCCTACTTACAGGAGACAGATCACTCTGCCTTGAAAGCTTTTATTAGGTTTCCTGTTTGAAGCATGGGCAGTGTGCCCTTGACAGGTGCAATTACCAGGAGAAAGTGGCCTCTCCATTGCTTGGGAATTAGAGTTCAGGGTGTATGTAACTCAGAGTGGTTCCTGAAGTCTCAGAGGTCTTCCATTATTCCTTTAATACTGTCTGAGGGGGAGAGGAACTATTATGTTAATAATTCTTACCTGTGGAAACTGCAAATGCTGAATGAGATTCATTCAACTCCCACCCTTTGTCTGGCTTTAATTGCTGTTGAGAAAGGGAGGGTTTGTGAGATGAAGCTGCTTAGCTGTACCATTTAACTCAAGAGATAAGATCTTTAATTCTGCAGTGGGCTATTGTTCAGAGGCCTTTACTGTAGCAGAACAAAAATCTACAAGCCAAGTAAATGAACCTAAAACTTCTTGTAATCTCCTGTTGGCTAAAAACACAAGGACCTTTGAAAGCTCTCAAACGTGGAAGTGCTGAAGTGAAACTCTCACCTTCTGTTTATTTTTAACCTTCAACTCTCTTTGATAAAGTTTGTCTGAAAGACCAACTGAGGAAGCACTGATTGTATGTAAAGTTCACTGTGAGCATTTAGTATCAGACTCTGAAGTCATCCTGCATGTCTAGAAATTCAGTGTACCAAATGCTTCTCTGTAGTAAGTTCTACTTAAAAGGTTGTATGGATTATTTTAAAGTCTGAAATACAAACCTAGCTGCCCAAACTAAATAATAGCTCCGAAAGGCTTAGAATAGCTTGTGCTGCAGATCCATTAAAACTAACAGCTTGGAATTCTGTTGATACAATTGTTAATAACTTTCTTTGAATTACTGCTTTTTTTATTTTTTTATTTTTTGGCCAAAGTCTGTCTGAATGCTGTCATTATACACAAAGAGCTAAAACTTCTTTGTTGACAGAAACCTTTCCTAGCCATAACTTCCAAGATTTCCTGCTCAAGTAATATGCACAACCAAGATCCCTGAATATGCCTTTGAAAGATCTGTGCTTCTGAAATAAGGAATTCAGATGCATTCGGGTACATTCTGTTCTAGAAAATGGATTGCTAATACCACCAAGATCACTCTATTATTTTAATGAGCACAGCTTTCTGGGACATTATGTGCCTCTATAAGAGGGCTAACACTGCTGTGGGGCATAGTACTGTGGAGAAAACCACGACATTCTTGATTAGTAATTAAATTGCATATTAATTACATGCAGAATGGAAGCTTTCATGTTGTATCCATACTAATTATCTCATATGGGTTTTCTGGATTTAAGAACTGTTTGAGGGAGAAGCAGTTCACACAATATTTTATTCTGTTTTTTCCATTTCCATTTACTTTTTTTTTTCATATAATTTATGTAATGCAATAGCTTAAGGTATTTTTCTCTCTGAAAAACAAGAGTCACCAAATATAGATTCTGAAGCCAAATAAACAGTTCTCCAAGGTATTTCTCTGGAACTAATACAAGAGAATTTGCTTTACTGGGTTGTATGGACAGCTGTTGCTACATTTGTGATGATAAATGATCTTTTGGAAGTTCAGATATGAAGGTAATCATCTATGGGGGGAGTATTCCACATGAATAAGCATTTACATTACAAGGAAAGGACGTACCAAGCTATTCACAAGAGACTTACAGTATTGAAATTATAAATTCTGTACTTCCATGAGAAGTAGTGATACTATTTAGTGTAAAATAAGTTGTATTGAATTATGACAGAAGTTACTAGCTTTTATTTTGAAAGCTAATAGGGTTTGTATTTAGGGTTATTTGTAAGGACATTTAGAAGGCATTCTAAATGCCCTTACAAATACTTGCCTCTGGTATCTTGAAAAATATGAACTAACATGTTTTTGTGCTGAATTTCTGTGAATTCCGTAAAACTCCAAATGCAATACCATGTAGATCTTCTAGTCTACCAAGGAAATAGGAGAGCCTAGCTTAATCAAAGTAATCACACTTCAGTCACAGCAGCCTTCAGGTTTTTGGAATTGTTTACTTACTGGGCAACTTTTTCGTAGTTAGAGTTTTGGTTGTGATATCTGTATTTTTCAGGATTTCAGGTTCCTGACAGGTTAATGAGAAGTTAACTCTGATGGAGGTTTAGATAATGTGGAGCACTGTGGTCATCAAACTGTTTCATCATCGGGGGGACTGACATTGATTTCCTCCACTGGCCATGTGTACATGTTCTAGGTTGCATTAATGCAAATATCTGCATTCCTGGACTTTATTTTCCATGTATGTATAAAAAGACATTGAATGTGTTTTTATACGTACATGGAAAATAAAATTTTAAAACTCTTCTGGAGTTTAAAAGCTGAAAATTTTGGTCCCATTGAGAATGGTGTGAAATACGTCTGGTATCTGGCCTGTTGTGGCAACCTGAAATGTGGATACAGGTAACCCAGAAATCTGATGGACAGTCTTCATATAAAACCTGGAAATCAGATGGTCAGAGTCAAGCTGGAATTCACTGCCTGCCAGGTGTAAACTAGAAAGTCTCATCTCACTGAACAAACTGACTTCTATTTTCTTGCAGGTGTTTTCAAGATAGAGGTGATTTTCTCTAAGGAACTCTCCTTAGAATCTCCTGTGCCAATTCCCAGCAAGCAAAATAAAGATTCAGTATTTTGCTTGGCATGATTAGTGAGCTTGGATTTGTGGCACATGTCTGCGAAAATATTTGCATGTTTTTGTTTTATATTGTGTCATTGTGAAATAACGTATTTGTAACCTGTGCAGTTAGTCAAGTGAAGAGTCATGGAGAGAATTTAAGAAATAAAATCCATTTATTGTTTCATCTTTGCATTACTGGGAAAATGTAATTTCTGTAAGTGCCATGATAGTTAAAAGCTAATGTCTGAAAACACAAGAAAAGAGAGTTACAGATCATTAAGTATAAACACGATGTGAATTTTGCTACTCCTTCCACAGGTGTTTTCCATTAGAATATGTCTGCCACATTCAGACCTATTTTAAGTAAATTCAGAAGGAAATGCCTCTTTACATGTTTATCCTGGAAGGGCAGATAGGCGTTTTACTTTATGAAGCAATCTAAAAGTTTTCTATTCTTCAAATGAAAAAATATTTTTCAGAATATAGTATTGTAGTTTGGTAGAGTATTTCTAGCTGCCATTAGAGACACTTGAAATTAAAACATAATAAAATTTGTGAAAAAGAAAATACTGTTTCTTAGATATGCTGGTGAAAGGGGGATTTGCCTGCTTAATTGTATGTGTAAAATATTTATGTTTGTTATATACACTTATACTAATACAGAACTCTACTGTAACTTTCCTCTTGGTGAGCTTGTAAAATGTTATTGCATTGATACTGTACTTTCAGGTTATAGTAGATAATTTCTTAAATAACTTGTAAAAAAATGTAATGACTTGCTAGCAGTTCTATCATGACAAATACGTAGCATCAATAATTTCCAGCAATAATTTTTGGGTTTGGGAAACAGCTTATCTCTTAGAGAAAAAACCCACATCCTGCAAATTCTTTACTTGATACAGAGAAAAAAAATTGATGTGATTATGAGCAGTTTTATATCTGCATATAGAATACGTGGTCACTTCAGAGTTCATTTTCTCCCTGAAAAAATGTTTAGGATGATGAGAAATTTACAAAAAAGCAGAATTCTCATTTGTTCAAGTTTCCTGGCTCTCTAGGGTCACAATATCACAAATGGTTGAGAGAAATATATTTACCTTCTACTCCCTGTACATGCAACTGAGGTAGTGCTAGACTAATTTAAATTCTGCAACTGTTTAAATGAAATAAAGTGTGGTGTTGCTAAGACCATCTGTATCAATTGTGTAATTGTTGCTTTACATAGAGATTCATTTTTCAACTTCTTTCACAATATTTTTTAAACTGAATGGAAATATTAATTATTCAGGAAACTAAATATTTCTTATTATTGAAATTTTTCCATGACATGAAATCACTTAAAGGAGTGCTGTGAATGTAATTTAACTGAATCTACATTTGAAGTAATTTTATGAGTAACTGACAAGTCTAAGTGTCTTGGATGAATTCTTTTTGTCTGTTTTACTCACATGGTTAGCAAAATATTAATGTTTTCTCCCAATAGCATCAGCGACTTCTTGACATTTTGGAAGCAGAAAAGGAGGTGTTGTCAGAAAAGATAGAAGAAGCTATGATGCAGCAGTCGCAAAAGCACAAGGTACTGCTTTTGTTTACCAAAAAAATAAGAGACCAGCATCATGGAGTTTATTGGGAATGATCCTGTCTCAGTTACTGACAGGAAGAGGAAGCTTTCTTAAGCACTTTGACTGTTTGAAATTGTTTTTAGGCACTCTTTATTGTCTATTGCAGTTTAATTTTTCATAACATTTGCAGGAACTGCTGGATAAGTGTTTGGATGAAGAAAGACAGAGAAGCAAGGAGGCTTTGGCAGCTGCTGCAAAGGTATCTCTCATTAATTAGTGGACATGCCATGTGGATTCAATGTGTGTCATTAGAAATGCCAAGCTCAGACACTCACTTTTGTTTCATACCTGTATTTATCAAGCTCTTTGTTCTCTTTGTGCTTAGAAGAAGCTGGTTCTACTGAAGATGAACATATCTGTTATATCCCATGTCTTGATGCAGAGATGGAACTGCCTTCTCTTGGACAATAGCCTCTGAATTGTTCATAACAAGAAGTCACAGAATTGCAATTCAGTTGTTGCTGTTACCTAAATATTTGTTTTTGTGGTCCTTTGACATCAGTGCATCTTGATTTGAAGAACTAGGTAGCAGGGTCAACTGATGATCTTAATCATGTCTTATTTAACTTTCATTGAATATGGTAATCTTCAATGAGGAGAGAACTATTATTAAAGTCATATACAAACAGGGACAGTTTAACAGGTTTTGAATTATTTTATATAAGCTGATGTTTGGCTAAAAGTGACTATTCAGGTTTTGAATATGATTTCTCCTATCTATTTCATTATTAAGTGCATTGGTGTTAGGACAATAATTTTGTAATTTTTAAGCTGGAATTAATTTCTAATACTGGTGTAGAATCCAGTACAAAAGTTCAGTTGCATGTAATGATCTGGGGAAGCTGGTGGTATGTATTACCTGGAACAGAGCATCAGGCTATATTATAATTTTCTGTATGTCTTTCTTGTGTAGTATATGAGCACTGGCTGAGCGCCTCACTGAATAGCATTCAGTAGTACCACAAATATTTCTTACATGGTTGATATCTACAGGAAAATGTGTTTATAATAAAACATCCTAATTTAATTATTGTATTTTTAATATCTAAGTAGAAAACCAAGTCCCAGTGAATGGGAATAAACAGCTTTAGTTGGAAGTGTAGGTATCTGATGAATACAGTATTTTTAATCTGAGGGATTTGTGATTAAGTTTTGTTAACCCACGTTTGCTTATTTTGAACTTCAGTTTGCCATTTTTTATTTGTAGATATTATGCAGTGGTTGTCTTGCTGATAAATATATTAGTGTAGCTATGCATGTGTGGAGCTGTTGGCTTCAAATTCTCAGTGATTTCAGATAATGTTTGAATATAATGATTGGGGAGCAAATAAAACAGTACTTGTAGCATGGCTAAGGAGCTTTGGGAGGGAAGACACATTTGTTTTAACAAATGTATAGCGGCTGATTTTCTACAGAAAATGCTTGAACAGTTTTTGCACTTCAGATATTTGTAGATAAGAGCAGGAATATCTCTTACTTCCATGGGGATTTTTGGGATTTTTTTTTTTTTTTTATTAAGCAAATTAGTTATGAATGCCTGTGTTTTCAGTAGGTGGAATTTAAGAGCCTTCCTGTAACTTCCTTTTGCCTTCTGTAACTACACAAGTCATTGCCCAGAGGTAATACCTGCTTGGTAGCACTGTAAGATAAATTTAACCTCATAGTTCAGAAGTGAAAATATTCACATCCCATATCTTGTGAAGGTGATAAATATGAGTCATTCAGGTTGGGTGTGTTGCTCGTCTCATTGTACCTGGTCTGTTTCAAAGGCTGAAAAGGAAGTAGTGCAGGAAGCTGTTCTGAAAGCAGTAGAAGAGGAGAGGAGAAATATGGAGAAGATTCATGCAGAAGAAAGAAAACTGTGGGAAGCAGAACGTGATAGTCATAGAGAGAAGATTGCCCAGGCTGTTTCAGAAGCCATGCAAGAGCAAAGAAAGCAGAATCAGGTTAGTATGTTTTACCTTTCCATGCACCTGCTCTGTCTTTTTTTTGTTTTACTTTTGTTTGTCTTCTCTTGTGGTAGATTTTCCTGTGGCATCTGTCACTTAGTTGATATTTGCAATGCACAGCAAGCAGTTTATCTTCACCTAGACTGTGTGTATGGAGAGAGGCTGGCACATACAGAACACAATTCCTATGACCTTTAAAGGTACATATATTGAAATGATATAAATCATGCCTGGTTTTGTCCCCTGACTTCAAAAGGAGCCCAGGATGAGCTGCTCAGAGAGTGGCATTTATGCTGTAAACAGTTCAGATGACTTCCATACCTGTAGGAGACTACAGATGTTACATTTGTTTCTTACAGAACAGGTACAAAATAAAGAGAGAGTTATAAAAACAGGAAACGTAAACCACTAATGAACCAGAAATGTTTCTAATCACTGGAGAGGTGCTTCTATAACAATAAATGTTTGTCACTTAACACAAATTGGGAGGGATATTGCCAACAGTGCTTTTAGCATTTCTACAAATTGAAAATGACATATATTAAAACTGAAAGTAAATTACTGTTCCACAAGTTGCATTTTGTGGTCTGTGATGCTGGATTTTGAGGGGCAGCCTGTCAATTCACTGATTTCTTCGTGGCATATTTGAATGTTATAGTCGTAGTCTTCAGAAATTTAAGGAGTATATATTTCATTGGTGTGTTGTAATTTGATATTGCTGTATTTCTTTATGTGCTGCATAAGAAAAAAAAACCCAAAACTTAAGAATTTTGAAGTAAAATAAAAGTACTCTTTGGAAACAGACACCATTTCCCTTTCCATTGTTAAACAAAATTAATAACCTCATATACCTAATCAGCTACAAAAAAAAAGTTTTGATGCTATGCCATAATCATACTCTGTATTGCCTAAATTCCTAATGTAAATAGAATGATTTGTTTTTACTATATCTTCTTTACTTCTTTCAAATGTCAAGTATCAAATGGTGAAATGTCAATTTTTAAGACTTTCAGTGATCCTTCAGGCAGTCAAACTCTTCTTCAGAACAGAAGGATAAACAGCTGAGCTCAAAGCTGAATTCAAGCTGAGAACAATTGCTTGGGTTTTAGTTAGATACAAATCATCCAGACTGTCCAGAGGGAGAACTGGTGCCAGGGTGGTAGAGACTCTCTGGAAGGGAGAGTGGTAAAGTGTTCATTTACTGGAGTAAAGACAGCAATCCTGTCACTTGTGGAGCATGAAGAGATTGCGAGGAGGAGGAGGAGGACTGTGGTAATAAAGTTTGAGAAGGTTTTTGATGGATGCTGAGGATTTTGGGTGGAAGAGTCCCGTGGTGGGTGCTGGAGTTCAGCCAGGGTTTGGGGGCGCGGGGTGTCCTGGGTGTGGGAGAGGTGTGAGCAAAGCTGGGCCAGCGACTTGAGGCAGGTTTGCCTTCACTCTGCAGCCTGCTGCAGACTCTCTCATACTTGATGTTGCCTTTGAAGTTGTCACAAGACAGGATGACATTAGAAGTAGTTTAATTTGGATGGATCTATTCTTTGATAAAGGACTGTAGTCCTTTGATAAAGTCCTAAATCCGCTGCCATGTCTGCGTTTCCCTGAGGAAGCGATTCAGGCCTCTCCAAGGGACAGGTCCTTCCACTCAAGCTTCTTTTAGATCAAGTAGTTCCTAGTGTGGAAGTACCTGGTGATGTACTTGTGATGGTGAGCAGCACTGACGTGTTTGAGGCCTTTGAGATTAATTCTGTTGTAAATATCTTGCACTTTATGTACTCCTTTAGTAGTGTCATTAGTTAATTCCATTTCTTTTAATACCAAACAGCTCTGACAACTTTTATTGTAACAGGAATAATTTATCTTATTTGATTATAACATGATTAATTCACCTTCATGTCTAGTTCATTTTTCAAATACCTGATCTATTTTTACTTAAGGAAAAATGCAGATTTTTCTTGAGATTTCCAAATTCTATCACATATATCTGTGGTATATATGAAGTTGCACTCTTTATTCTCTAATTAATGAGTACAAATTCCCTGGGGAGGAAGGACTTTCATGGAGAAATTGGTTTCTTGGAGAAATTTTCCCTTCTTCCTATGCCAAGAACTTGCATGTCTCCTTTAGGCCATTGCAATTATAAGCATACACAAAGTACAAAAATTTTCTGTCAACAAAGTCCTGCAGAGCTGATGTGCCAAATGATAACTTATATGTGGTGTCAGATACAGCTTTGGTTTAACAATGAGAAACACTTGGGCCTACAAGGCACTTAGTGTGTGGGCAGTAATTTTCTCTGTGTAGAGCCTTCCACACAGAGTTGTTTCTTATTTATGTTTTGTTTTCTGTAAGATTTGTCTTACAAAAGCTATAACTGCAGTCTTGACTCTCTTGTAGTTATTGTTTAGGCAATATATTAAGTCAGCTCTGTAAAGGCCAAAATGCAAACAAGAGTCTAACATTTTAGACAATGAAATGTAAAAAACCCTAGAATAAAATTTTATTTTGCTGTAAATTATTTCAAAGCAATTTGCTTTATTGATTTGAACCCAAAAAGAAATTAAGCATAGTATTAAAGGGAAGGAGTTTTCCTTCACTGATGCAGTAAACCTGTGAAATGGGAAGATCACAAAGGGTCAGTCTGGTCTTCTGCAAATAGGTGAGGCAGAATGGCTTGCAGTCAAAATGCCACAATTAACTCTAGGAATAATTAATGGAAAAATTCAAAAACATTGAAAATTTTATTATTAGCTTCGAGATGGAAACCCATAGAGAAAAAGGCATTTTCATCTGCATGGTGCAATAGTTTATAAAGGACATATTTTAAAAACTGTAGCACCACTGTGTATCTGTAAAACATTTAGGTTATGAATGTGAGGGAAAATAAATTTCCGTGTAAAAGTGAAATGAATTTGTTGGCTTCTTCTTTACCCTCTGGACCAGAGAAACATGATTAGGAGTTTTCATTTGTTGGTTTAAAAGAGTAACTTGCCATCCATTAATTTTCTTTATTAAAATAAAAGATATGGGTTTTTTCCACTGGTTTTTAAATACATGCACTAGAAGTTATATGACTATGTAAGAGAAAGCAAATGGGAAAAAACATTAAAGTATGGGTTGTTTACATTACATTGGTTAGGCAGTTTTAGCCTAACAATAGAAGGTTTGAAGAAGAAGAACAATAAAGGTTTGAAGATCCCACTTGTGCTGAATTACGTGGTAAAATTTTCCTTCATCACCTAAATAATTTGTTTAAAAGAAGAAAAGATGAATGTTTCCTTTGCAGGGATGATCCAGGTATTATTTTAGACTTTTTTGGTGCTGTTGCTGCAGAGTGGCCAGGAAGGAGACCCAGAGGGGATCCGAATCTGGAAGGTTTATGCAGATGCCTTCTGGTTGTGAGAAATTCATGCTTGACAAAACTTTGTCCTGAAAACAAATGTTTGTCCTCAGTCAAATTGTTGTCCAGTCTGCAGATAAGGAAATACTACTTCCATTTAAAATTTATTATACTAATTTAACATTGCCAGAGAAAAATTGGAAGATGTAGAGACAGTTTAATAAATAAATAATATTTAATATGAAATATTTTGTTACCAAATATGAAACAGCCAAGTAAAGATAAACTTACAGTGAAAGTAGGAACTAAAACATACTGAGTTAATATTTCAACTTGACGGAGCAACCTTGACATACCACCTTCTTTGCTTTTTCTTTAAGAAATTAAAGGATTACAGTAACATGAATATTGTTTTGGGTTTTTTTTAATGAAAGCTTTTCATGAAAGCTTTGACTGTTCCAGTGACTTGGGGTCTTTACTTAGAGGTATGGTATTTGTACTTAAAGGTATTATTTTTTGAAGCCTTATAACTCTAAAGGGATAAATGAGATATTTTACCTCATCAGGGGAATGGAAAAATGTTTTTTACAGCATGCTCTTGAGGTTGTGAAGTAGTAAAAATCCAGATGACTTCCATTTTGGTTGAGACTAGCAGCATCTTCAGATTTTATAATTGTGTTTTTCAGGTGCTTGATGCTTTTATAAGAGTTTTTTGTGGTTTTTTGGTTGTTTGTTTTTTTTTTTTTTTAAATTTAGAAGAGCATTCTCAGTTTGGGGAAGAGCAGGCTTGCATTTTAAATCAGGAAGAACGAGCTCTCCTTGAAAAGAACTAGTAGTCTTTTGATTAAAGATAATGTTCATTTGCACAGGAACCTCTTGATCCTCTTTCAACACATTAAAAAGTCATCATAGATTAGGAACTCATCTATTTAACAGACTAGATGTAGCTTGGCATGTCTCCAGTATTTTCTTTTCTGGTTTTTTCTGGTGTTTTTTACTGTGGCATCTTCCCTGCAAGGAGAGTTTAATGTCTGGTAGTTGTCAGTGTTGAGAGTGGTGAAATTCCTTCACTAGAATTTTCTCTAGAACACCTGTTTAAATAAAAAGGGGGTATCCTCTAGATAAGGAGAAAATATAAGAGGCAGTTTGTCTGAGGCCGAAGTTTTTACTCCAGAATCCAAAATTGCAGTGAAGCTCTTGTGGTACAACTCTAAACTGAAAAAACAATGGACAATTCCCTCTATCCTCCTTTACATCTATTTTTACTCATTGAAAAAACAGAAGTCCAAAAATTCTTTGGGGATATATGATGGTGATGTCCATACAATTCTGAATAAAGGCTGCTGTATTAAATTAATAATTCGTGGGGAATGAAGAGTAGCTCCCATAGTTATAATGCACAGAGCTCTCTGCATGGCAGTTGTTATCATTTTGCAGAGCCAAATACTCAGCTACACAAAGGAGGTGAAATCTGTGGTGGTGTGGAAGAGAATTAGCAAAAGAAACTGAAGAGAGTTTATGCACCACTATTTTTGTTTTAAAATAAATTCATTAAAAGTAAAAGGAAAGCTGACAGCTGCAGGGTGAGCCCTGGAAATTTAAGTCCATCTCATAGCTTGAAAAAAATAATTCTGCTAAGGCATTTGAAGCAAAGAATCAC